CCGCTGACTGCTAACTAAATGCTAAAGCCTCGGTGTTTTAGATGATGGTTACATTCACAAAGTAATTATGCATTGGGGACTCCAGAAATAAGGTTTAATTACGCAGTAATCGCTTGTGATGGACACCGGGAAGCGTGAGCACCACCAGACTGCAATCCATCAACGCCAGAACCTCCACTTTTAATTCCTCCTCATCTGCATCCTAACCTCCGCGCCGAGTCACACAGACGCTGCTCAACGCTAATGGGCCTGTCTGTCCACTCAACATGGCGGCTTAAGCCATTTCAACTTTCCCTTTTTGTGTGTCTCTGTCTCCATTTTTTCTCTTACACACACAAAGTCTCGCACGCTTCACCCCCCCACCCCTCCCCTCTCTCTCACTCCCCCCTCTCCCTCCCATAAACACCAGCCCCTAGGAAGGCTGTGAGTGGTGGTCAATGCTGGACTAATTGGGAGCAACATGTAAAGTTTTATCTCTTCAGTGCCCTCCCCTCCTCCACTCTCTTTGCCCCTTTACTTTCTGTGTGTGTGTGTGTGTGTGTGTGTGTGTGTGTGTGTGTGTGTGTGTGTGTGTGTGTGTGTGTGTGTGTGTGTGTGTGTGTTTAACTCTGTGTTTCAGTCCGGCTATATTTTGAGCAGGAGAGAAAGAGAGAGAAAGAGAGTGATATATATATATATATATATATATATATATATATATATATATATATATAGGCCTATATATATATATATATATATATATATATATATATATATATATATATATATATATATATATATATATATATATATATATATATATGTATAGGCCTATATATATATATATATATAGAGAGAGAGAGAGAGAGAGAGAGAGAGAGAGAGAGAGAGAGAGAGAGAGAGACAGACAGAGAGACAGACAGACAGACAGACAGAGAGACTTGTCCACATGAAGTACTGTGTGGTTTGGCCCTAAAGTCATTGTTAATCTCCATCCTACAGGGGATGGAAGGAAATAATGTTTTTAATAATTGAAACGTGGTATTAGCGCTGCTGCCACATTCGCTCCTGTACAGCTAGGAGTTTGATTAGCATCGCTAACACTGTGGTCCATCTCTCCCATAGACACTCTATTCATTAGAATTAGCTTCCAGGGCGCGCAGCAGTTAAATCCTTACGTTCAAAAAGGTACAGTTTAGAACCACAAGCTTTTAAATACATAACGGCTCTCCGAGACGAAGCTTTAAAACCCAATGGAGCGGCTCTGGAAACCTGATGAAAAGGCTTTATTACTTTATTTCTTTATTGAGGAACTGCAACACTCACTAGTTCTTATTGTTTATTAGTTTTGATATCGTAACACGATGGACAGGTAGGCCTACAGCTTTGTCAAAGTTATTTTGAGGTCAAAACTCGTTACTCTATCCAGTATACAATGTGAAGCCATTAGCGCAACATTTAATATTGTATTCAGCCAAATGTGAAGTCATAGAGAGGCTTGTCATTTATTTCTGTGTTTATTTGTGTTTGTATTTATTGCATGCTTATTTCAAAAGGAGATTCATAAGGAGTTACATATTACATAAATAAATCCATGCAGGATTTCATGAACGCCACTAAAAGGGAAATCAGGTGTTGCTGCCTTGAGCCGCGCAAACAGCACCAATTAGCAGCAGAGAGCGGCCAAAAACATTCACCACTCCTCCATCTGTCACAAGGAGGGGGAGGCTGTCTTGCCAGGGGTTGGGGGTCAGGGGTCGGGGGTCAGGGCTCCTCAGTCGGCAATGTGACGACGAATCTGGCTGGACTCACCTGTAGTTTATCAGCCATGATGGAATCCGTCTGCAGAGAAAGAGAAAGAATCTCTCTGTCGATAACAAGCAGCTCGCCTGTTTGTCCTCAGGTCATATATATATATATATGTATATATATATATATATATATATATATATATATATATATGATGTGTTCCTGATTGTATTGTACTTGGACATTTCTCCGCCTCGTTACACGTTATATGAATGGCTGCTCTCTTTGTGAAATGAATATAAGACCAAAACACACAATAATAGAGTTATGGTTTTGGGTTCGATTGCCTCGCTGCATCCTAGAGCAAGATGTCTTACCCCTCACTTGCTCTTTAATTACATCTGAAAATGTTTTGGATAAAAACATCTCCAAGCTAACAAAATACAACTCCGAAGTAGTGTCCTAATACAATCTACAATCTCTAATGGCCCACTGCAAATGTATTTAGTGGATAGATAGCAATAGTCTTTCTTTTTAAATGTTGTGTTTAGTTTTTCAAATTTTGTGCACATTTTTCTTAAATAGCACTTTATTATTTTTGAGGATAATAAAGTCATAATTTAATTAAACTCCTTAAATTAAATCATAACACCACAAGTGGCCCAAAAGTCTAACTGAGTTTGCCTTCTCATTAATATTTTAATTACCATAATGAAATCCCTAATTGATTCAAAATACTTGCTGCTGCCGCTGTTCTAGATTCAGAGGTCCTCATTAATAGAGAAATGTGGACAGAAGACCCCCCCCCCCCCCCCCCTTATGGGACTTCTTGTCTTCTTCAGTATCTGAGTCTTAACCCTCGGCTGGGAACAAGAGGACCTAATGGGGAGCAGAGACAGGAGGAGTCCGTCCAATAAGCTAACAGACTCAGCTGAGCATTAGCAACACAGAACGTCACTCCCCCCCACACAACGTCACTCCCCCCCACACAACGTCACTCCCCCCCCCCCACACAACGTCACTCCCCCCACACACAACGTCACTCCCCCCCACACAACGTCACTCCCCCCCACACAACGTCATTCCCCCCCACACAACGTCATTCCCCCCCCCACACAACGTCACTCCCCCCCCACACAACGTCACTCCCCCCACACACAACGTCACTCCCCCCCACACACAACGTCACTCCCCCCCCACACAACGTCACTCCCCCCCCCACACAACGTCACTCCCCCCCCCACACAACGTCACTCCCCCCCCACACAACGTCACTCCCCCCCACACAACGTCACTCCCCCCCCACACAACGTCACTCCCCCCCCCACACAACGTCACCCCCCCCCACACACACACACACACACACACAACGTCACTCCCCTCCACACACTTCACCCCCCCCCCCCACACACACACACACACAACGCCACTCCTCCCCCCACATGTCACCCCCCCCCAACTGTGTGCAAAAGTTTCATTATTATCACTAATATTATGATTATTATGATTAATATTGTTATTATTGTGATGATGATGATGATGATGATGATGATGTATATATATATATATATATATATATATATATATATATATATATATATATATATATATATATACATATATATATATATATATTTATATATCTTTGTAGAGCAATCATAATTATCATTTTGAAGAAATATTACAGAAAATATATATTGAAGCAGGGTCGGGGGTCATGTAGAAAGTGGGTGTCGCTAAAGACGAAGGTCAAATCCAATATGTGATGACATAAGCAATCTGTAAGCAGTTATTGCACCTGGACTTGAGGTGCGGAGAAACATTTTGAAATCACAAAGAAATAAAAAATCTAACATTGCATCCAGCAGCACAGCGTCAGGAATGAGTGATGCTCTTCTCTCTCCGCGTTTCACCTTATTCTCTCTCTCCCCCATCCACCTTCCCCCAGCCCCACTCCACCCCCGTCCACAACACACTGTGTGTGTGTGTGTGTGTGTGTGTGTGTGTGTGTGTGTTGTGTGTGTGTGTGTGTGTGTGTGTGTGTGTGTGTGTGTGTGTGTGTGTGTGTGTGTGTGTGTGTGTGTGTATGTGTGTGTGTCATATCTGGGTATAATGACATGAATTACAAAAGCCCTCCTTTATGTTCAGTCAATCGGGGATGTGATGCACAAACTGCTGCCTGGAAACAGTCGACATGTCATTCACTCTGAGTCATCAGGTGATCAGGTGTCTGTACCTCATCATGTCTGTACCTCATCATGTGTGTACTTCACTGTGTCTGTACTGCATCATGTCTGTACCTCACTATGTATCTACCTTATCATGTCTATACTTCATCATGCCTGTACTTCATCATGTCTGTACTTCATTGTGTCTGTACCTCATCATGTCTGTACTTCACTGTGTCTGTACCTCATCATGTCTGTACCTCATGTCTGTACCTCATCATGTCTGTACTTCATCATGTCTGTACCTCATCATGTCTGCACTTCATCATGTCTGTACCTCATCATGTCTGTACCTCATTATGTCTGCACTTTATCATGTCTGTACCTCATCATGTCTGTACCTCATTATGTCTGCACTTCATCATGTCTGTACCTCATCATGTCCGGTCGGGGTGCCACTGAAGACAGCACATAAACACTCACAGAAGCTGGAAACCGTGACACACACTCACACACACACACACACACACTCTGTGGGAGATGGGCTGAGACCCATTCCACCAGAGAGTGGTGTATTGGGAGCGCTGATATTTCTACGTAGAGCACGGTTGGTGTAAATCACGTTTCTATTGATTAAAGTCGTTCCCACGCCTGCCGGCTGAATTGTCCACAGAATAAAGAGCAGCTTTATGTTTGGTCTGTCAAGATGTTGGGCCGTTCTGTGAAGGCCAGAGGAGTGTATAGCAGCACAGTAACTCTTCTGTCTGAACCAGTAACAATACTTTCTTTTCTTTCTGGGAAACCTGATGGAAAATAAAATCCTTTATTTGGTCACAAGAGATTTTTTCCCTTATAGTTTCCATGAATGGACCCTTGCCAGATATTCATATTCATTTGAAAGAAAGGTCTATTTTTCTTGTTACACATAATAATCATGTTTTTTATCTAAGTGATCCTAAACAATAATGAAACCCAATAAAGCATTGCTTATTTGAAATGAGGTGCTTTGTAATTATTAACTAGTTGTTACGCCTTTTCAATCTACGTAACAAGCAATTAACACCCTGTTATTATTGAATTGACATCTGGAGACCCTGGTCCTGCTACCTCAACTGGTGAGAGAAAGGCATTAACGTTGCCAGGGTTAGGGGTTCGATTCCCACTGGCACCCCCATGCAAAAATATAAATATGGATAAAAGTGTCCACCAAATGGTGTATATTATATTATATATTATTATGTACTATACATATTATGAAATATTATATTTTATGTATTATTTTATATTATATTATATATATTATGATATATTATATTATACATATATTCTATATTATGTTATACATATTATTATATATTATATTATATGTATTTTAGAGGTTACCCCCTTGACATGTAATATAATGGAATAGCAAGGATCCATTTGAATGAGTTTGAACTGCTTGGATACAAATATAACTGTTGCATTAGCACTCTAACTGTGTGTGTGTGTGTGTGTGTGTGTGTGTGTGTGTGTGTGTGTGTGTGTGTGTGTGTGTGTGTGTGTGTGTGTGTGTGTGTGTGTGTGTGTGTGTGTGTGTGTGTGTGCGTGTGTGTGTGTGTGTTTTGGTATGCGTGATCGTGATGAGGACTTGAAAGAGCTGGGTTAACGTGGGAGTGGGAGACGGCCTGTAGACCCTGGAGACCCTCATCTCTCAGACATCAGAGGGCTCAGGGACTCTGGTGGTGCTGACTGTCAAATGAAGCTCACTTCTGTTCAACTGAAGATGAGACAGAAGCAAGGAGAAGGAGTGAGGCAGCTTCTTTCTCTCTCTCTCTCTCTCTCTCTCTCTCTCTCTCTCTCTCTCTCTCTCTCTCTCTCTCTCTCTCTCTCTCTCTTTTGTGAGGTGAAGCCTATTTTAGATTCATTTGATTTGTACTTTTACATGGAATAACAAAGGGAGAGACATTAGAGTTAGGCGATGGCCAATTTCAAAAGGGCTCTGGTTGTGCAACTGTTATATACCTATAACTGTTATATATACATATATACAAATGTTATATAAATATATAACTGTTATATATAATACATATACACATGTTATATATACATATAACTGTATATGCTATCAACATCTTCATGGATGAATTAGTGAATTAAAACAGGGACGTTTTTTTGTACGTAATGCTTAATTTGGCAAACTTTATTATCCATATTGTTTCAGTAGTAAATGTTGTAAAACAAAGCATGACAAGGTGGAGATCAAGGTGGGGGGGATTGTGGAAACATGGCATTTAAATCCATTCATCTATAAATCTAGCCCTTCTCATTTGTAATGCTAATGGTAAAACTGTTGATTTCCACACAAACCTTCTCTGACTGCACTACACAATCATGGAGTCAAGATGGTTTTGAAAGTGTTTGTGTTGTTGCGTCAACGTACACATCTCACTAGAGTAACACATCTCACTAGAAGTTACACATCTCACTAGAGTAACACATCTCACTAGAGTAACATATCTCACTAGAAGTTACACATCTCACTAGAGTAACATCTCACCAGAAGTTGCACATCCTGCTAGAGTAACACATCTCACTATAGTAACTCATCACTAGAAGTTACACATCTCACTAGAAGTACACATCGTACTAGAAGTTACACATCTCATTAGCAGTACACATCTCATTAGAAGTACACATCTCACTAAAAGTACACATCTCTTTAGAAGTACACATCACACTACACATCGCATTAGAAGTACAAATCTCACTAAAAGTACACATCTCATTAGAACACATCTTTTTAGAAGTACACTTCTCTTTAGAAGTACTTAGAACCCTTGCTGAACAGATTCTCTGTCTCTGTTCTGAGGAACTGGGAGTTCATTATCATTCTCAGGTCATCGCCGAGTGAAGGGAACACAGTTGAGTTAGCGAGAACCAACCAAGAGGGCAAAACCGAAACTGAAACAGAGATATTTATGTCTCCCAGTCCGGAAAACATCCGTCTTCAGCTTTTGTTACTCCTGCATTTTTTCCTGACCGTTTTCTCTGATAGATGAAATACAGTAATAGTATATATCTCATCCTCCTGCCTCCCACCAGGCGGGGCCCCTCCCTCCCTGGGCTCGTTGAGCATCACACTCTGCCCTTGTGCTGGACATCAAATGACCAGCACACCCCCCAAGGACCTCTGAAGTTTCTTCATTTTCAGCAGCCGTCCTCCTCTCCCTGGTCAGCAGCCAGCCAGACGGACGGGAGGGGGGAGAGAGGGGGAGAGAGGACATCTGCCCGTCTGTGGATAAGGGACGGGCAGGTTCACAATCTGTCTGTCAGCCTCTCTCTCTCTCTCTCCCTTCCCCCCCTCAGAGTGGACCCCATCGTGTCCCCTCCCCCGCCTCTCCCTCCCTCCCTTCTTGTTATTCTGGGGGAGGCACCGGGGGTCTGAGGCTGAGGTGTGATGTTCTGATTTGGGAAGAATCCAGATAAAATCAGGACAAAAAAAGGGGATTTTAATAATATTATGTAATGATAATGCCAATATAATATTACAAAATATGACATTATGGGGTTTTGTTTGGCAAAAGATAATGCTGAAGATGACAAAACTAAATATTATACCATACCAATTCTGTGCCTGAATCAGCACTAATCCAGAAATGATTATATGTAACAAACATTGGTTTACTATTATTATTATTATTATTATTATTATTATTATTATTGGGTAGCTATAATGAATCATTGTTGGCTTTTTTTAACGATTATCTTAATTACATGCAGATTTCTCTGACCCTTCCTGTGTAAGAAAGACAAGGCGATCGATGGAGATATATTTGCATAAAAATCAATTTCCCCGTAACTGAGGGATCAGGTGTGAGCCCCCGGGATGAAGATACCTTTGGCCTCGCTGGCTTTTGCCTAACCTGAAAACTAATTTGTTTGCTTCCTAAACTTAATACTGGTAAACCCCCTCCTTAGTGATTTATACATGGGGTCGCTGTGTAGATATGTACACTGACAACCCACTGCTTGAATATCACTTCTATTATTTAAAAGAACACATGCATTACAAAAAACAACTGTTACGAATAATACAACTCTTAACCACCACCACCACCCCAACCACCAAACTATTGTTAGGAATAATACAACTCTTAACAATATCTGATTTATTTAGGCTCTTGTTTCTCCTTGGGTGTCCGGTCACACTGAATACGGAGCAGAACAATAGCATGAGACGCGGGTGAGAGAGAGAGAGAGGGAGAGAGAGAGAGAGCGAGAGAGAGAGGGAGAGAGAGAGAGAGAGAGAGAGAGAGAGAGAGAGAGAGAGAGAGGGGGGGGGGGGGGGGGGGTCGAGTACTGTAAGCGATCCTACTGGTCGGTTGGTACCGCTGGCCAACTCACCCTGCCACCAACCCCTCACCCCCAACAGCCTCCATATGAGAGCAGAGCCCAACATGTTGGTGGTGGCGACCCCTTCCCCCTCCTCCACCCCCCTCCTCCACCCCCCCTCCCCCCCCCTTCTCCTCCTCCTCCTCCTCCTGGACCAGGAGGAGGTGAAGGAGAGAGAGTATCACCCTCTCCTTGTCAGCTGCAAGGGTAATTACTACTGGCTGAAATTACTCAACATTTGTTTATTAGCTCCCAGGAGCCCACTGTAAATAGATTGTCTGTTAGAGTCGGATCACATTAAAACCCAGAGAGGCTTGCCTCCTGTGTTGTTTCTGTGTTGCTTTAAAGCCTGCTGCTCACTTATTGTCCCGCTACGAAGCAAGGAGCCATGTTAAATGTGATTGTTTTCCATTAGCTACATCCTGTCTAATACCTCAACTTGTGCGTCGCAATTACTGAATTCTGCCAAGCAACATAACCTTCATTAGCTCTGCAGACTCCTGCAGCTCTTTGGCCCTGCTGCCTTTTTTTTTTTTTTTTACATTTTTCATTTTTTTAGTTTATTTTTTTATTCATGAGCTTGGAGCGTTTTAATTCAATATTGATTTGTGCGTAGACACTCACTCTGCGTTGTGTTCCCAATGCAGTGCCTCATGCAGTGATTGGAAAAGATTGTGTGGGCACCGGTCTGTCCTTGTATACATAGTGTAGGATAGTTCCTGTCATAGATGACATTCTGGAAACACTTGACCTACTAAAATGAATTCTTGGCCAGAGCCCAGCGACAGAGAGAGCGGTTCATTCGCCCAGAAAATGTGAGCAGATCTAAAAAAAGAAGAAGAAGAAGAAGAAAAAGGCGAGACATGCAATACTTCTGTCAGAGAGAGAAGGAGAAAATAGAGTACATTAATACTGGAACATATGAGGGGAAAATTATAAGCAGACAAGAATCCTTCCATAGCATGTGAAACATTGCTTTGAATACGTCACCTCTAGACCGGTCAACACACTGGTGATAATGTGGAGAAACACACTGGTGATAATGTAGACGGACACACTGGTGATAATGTAGAGGGACACACTGGTGATAATGTAGAGAAACACACTGGTGATAATGTGGAGAAACACACTGGTGATAATGTAGAGGGACACACTGGTGATAATGTAGAGGGACACACTGGTGATAATGTAGAGAAACACACTGGTGGTAATGTAGAGAAACACACTGGTGATAATGTGGAGAAACACACTGGTGATAATGTAGAGGGACACACTGGTGATAATGTAGAGAAACACACTGGTGGTAATGTGGAGAAACACACTGGTGATAACGTAGAGTAACACTGGTGATTATGTAGAGTAACACACTGGTGATAATGTAGAGCAACACACTGGTGATAATATAGAGAAACATGCTGGTGATAATGTAGAGAAACACACTGGTGATAATGTAGAGCAACACACTGGTGATAATGTAGAGAAACACGCTGGTGATAATGTAGAGAAACACACTGGTGATAACGTAGAGTAACACTGGTGATAATGTAGAGCAACACACTGGTGATAATGTAGAGCTACACACTGCTGATAATGTGGAGTAACATTCTGGTGATAATGTAGAGCAGCACACTGGTGATAATGTAGAGAAACACACTGGTGATAATGTAGAGTAACATGCTGGTGATAATGTAGAGAAACACGCTGGTGATAATGTAGAGAAACACGCTGGTGATAATGTAGAGAAACATGTTGGTGATAATGTAGAGTAACACACTGGTGATAATGTAGAGCAACACGCTG